TCACATTTTCTATTGAAACTAGCTTTAAGGGGGGTGGGGGGAGGGGGAAGAGGAAGAAACAACATTCCTCTGCAACCCATATAACTCCAGTATCCTGCTGAGATAAGACAGCCAAAAATGAAATTGTTTAGAAAGTGAAATACACAAGGTAAATATATGGTTAACAACTAATTAAAGGTAAATCAGATTTTTTTAAATGTCACTTTTAGTACATTAAAGTGACAACAACAACAAAATGCATTTACAACATTTTAATCTGAGTGTGTATAATTGTAAACCATATTGTTGTAAATGCTATCTGGATTTCTGACAATACTAAGCTAAACAAAAATAGAATATAGTGAAACCACAACCAAGTCAGGAATCTGCATTCAACTTGATTGGCTTCTCTAGACTGGTGCATGAAATAGAGAAATATGCCAACAGAATATTTATTAAAAAATATACAAATACAAACAAGCATTCACAGCTCTCCAAGTATGACCTAGGAAGACTGCAGTTATCACGCCAGGAAAGGTCCAGCAGCATTAGGGAAGACAAGATCTCATTTTCTAGATGAGATCTCCCAGTGTCAACAGTGCCCCTCCTCTTTCCCTCACCATCACACACTTATCATATCACAGGAGTACAAAGTAAAGTCCCCAAAATCTGAGCAGAAAGGGCTAATCAACGTAATATGCTAAAACCAGCATTCCACAGCTACAGGTATTATGAGTAAATTGGGTTTACCTATCCACAGGCAAACTGCAGAAGCCAACACAACATTCACAAAAAAATGATAAACGTAATGTTTGTTCAAATACAAATTCAGAATGTTAACAAGAATGACTGAGACCCACAGTTCCACTGCAATAATGACCAGCCAGAGGAGCTCCTGACTGAGAATGAAGCAGAAGCCCATTAATTTGAACCCGACACTTCATCACCATGCAGTGCTTGAGCTGAGAATACCACCACTTTTGTGGAAGGTGTTAGCAGCAAAAAGTTGAAAATTAATTTCCATAATACATTTGATTGACTGTTAATTTTTCCTGTCCACTGTTGCAACATACTGTAGGAATATCTAAAATTGTATGTTATACAGTTTGTGGAGGTTCACACATCGTTGGATGTAGGGCATTCCACAGAGATGTAAAGAAACTACTTTAAGAACTGATACTTTACTATTGGCTCATCAGTAAAGGTAAAGAGAGCAACAAACTGGAATCAATTTTTTACATTATGGTTAAACATCAGTTTAGTGAACGCAAGGCTGACCTGGACTTTCCTTTGACCTGGACTAGCAATTGCCTGGAAAACCAAAGCTCTGAGATATAGCATCAAAATAATGGTGGCACATTAGCTAGGCAGGTCCCATTAACACAAGCAGGAACTGCAGCACTAACCCACAGAGCTTCAAGGTTCTGTTTATTTTCTAAAACCCTGAAAAAGCTGTCAAAGTTATGCATAAAGACTTCATTACTTACTTTTATCTTTTGTGCATATTTGTTTCTAAAACATGGAGCAATCTGGTTTTTCCTTACATATGATGACACTTTATTCATGCAGTCCTGGTCATATCAAAAAGTTTAACCCACGAAGCTGCCAATTTCAATTCTTGTTTGTTGTTGTACATGTTTTATAAACAAAGAGATTGCACTGCTGTGGCAGGCTATTTTGCCAATTTGTTGCAACACAGAGAAACCTTGAAGCATCTAAACAACAGTCTATGTTGCTATTGTTTGAAAATGTACAACTCCTTTGGTATTGTGAATAGGAAATTAATGCAATGATCCTTGAACCTCAAAGAAATTGCAGTGCAGATTTTGTATTTATACTGCAGGCACTTTTTATAGGTGTGAAGACACTCTTAGGTGTGTCATACCAGTATGAACGTAAAACAATTTAACAGTAACTTGCCAGTGTAATAATTTTTTAAATAATAAATGTTTATATAAAGTTTGCTGGGATGTCCAGAACAGGACAACATAAAGCCGAGTGTTTTAAATATGAATACTGAATCCAGTAACAAAAATTAATTATGGTGTTTGTATCTGAACTGCAGATCGCCTCAACTCCATAAGACAATACTAAATTCCATAAGACAATTTTTTCAACTGATTCCTGACATACCTCTATCGTCTACAATTTTCATTACAGAAAAACACTGATAGTTTTCACAGAAGTGTCAATACCATATGTATGTCCCAAATTTTATCTAAAAAAGAATTTATTTAACTTCAACACATTTTCAATGCAATTTTAACATCTTGAAAGGAAGCATAAAGCCAGTGTCCATAATAAAACATCTTTTAAAATAATATAAACCAAGTCATTTTGGCTCACAGCAAAATCAGTCACTGTAAACAAAGTAATCAAAAGAGAACAAAGGTGCACTTGATACATGAAATGATAGAAGGTCTTCAACCCTGCACTGCAATACACTAGCAGACCTCTGTCCCTGTGAGGATTCCCACAGACTGCAGTGGGACTATGTACAAATGCAAGGGTCTGTGATAGCAAGAAGCTGATGTAGCCTGGGGCCTTAGTGACTTGATTCTTTTTCATCCTTTTAACATACCTAGTGAGTTTGATTACTGTCTCTGTGCACCTTTCTAAGGGCTGCTGAGGTTTGTTGTTTGTTTTGTCGAGGAGGAAGAGGTTTCCCACTGTTACAGAAAGTAATCTCTAGGATAACAGTATTGAAAATCCCAAGTATTCAAAACTTATGAGGGAAGCACCACAAATCAAGATAGTTATTTAAAAATCAAGAGATTAGTTTAAAAAAATAAATCTGGAGTGCTCTTTATTTGCTCTTTGGTTTTGGAAACTTGAGAGTTCCGTTGAGTCATATTTTCTCTGAAACCACATGAGCAAAATTCTTGGCTTTGATTTTTTTTAAAGTGGGATTTTTACATAATCACATGAATCCAGGAGCTAGGGCGTTAATAAAACACCAAATACCATTCAACTCACAATAAGCCTGCAAGAGTTGGCAATGCTTGGATAACATTAATGCATACAAACTATACAAAGTACTGCTTTGAACTTTAAAAACACACACTGCAGCAGAGCTCTAAAGTAACTCCACATACAAAGGAGTGCAAAATTATTCCATACTATATTCATGAAAAGCACCTTGTCATTTAGATGCACAACCCTTCTTCTCAGTCCATATTTTTATTTGGTGTCTGTTCTCCTTTGGCGCCAATAGCACCTTTTGAAGTGGTCCAAAGGACACCCACATTTAATTGTTGAAACATTTACTGCACATCTGTACTATGAGCCACTTGAAGATGTAAACAATAACTAGGAAGTGATATCACTTATTATGTCATTGTTTGGTCCAACATGCAAGGTGTGAGAGTTTTAGTCCACAGGAATTATTCACCCTTAAAATCTATCAACATAATTTAAGATCCTAAACCTGTGCGCCAGTCAAATGTGTTGATAAAAACACCAGTAAAGAGACTGATGTTACACTGAATCCACAGCCAGTTACAGAATGAGAGAAAAGGTACGCTGTAATGTGTTACTTTAAAAGATATACATAAATTCTACATAAAATGGCTAACTATTTACTAATGTGCAGTATCTGGAAACTCCTTGTAAAGATCTCTTGCTGTCTAAACTAAATTGGCAAGTATGTGGTTCAACCTACCGTTTTTTTTAAAAGGATAAAAATAAGATTACTTAAAACAGACTACTGTGATAGAGCCCCTAATTACAGCACAGTGACCCAAAGTCTCTCTTCTCATATTTGGTGCTTCGATAAGATTACAAACACAAAACATGCCTGCTTCTCACGCATTTGATCGCTGGGCTCAAATTTGGATAACCTAATTAGTTGTCTGCTATACATAACAGCAAGTATCTACATTTTAAGCGAATAAAAAAGGGGAGACCTAGTTATTTGTCTAAGAACACACCCTTGCAATCCAAATTTTTCATATTTTCAGCAAAAAATACTCCCTATTTTCTAGATTTAAAATGTAGTCAATGGATACAGTATCAAATACCTTTAAAAGCATTCCACAATGCCTTCTACCCACAGCCCTAGATGAAATAAAATGGCCAATGCAATTTCCTTGTTTAGTTCAAGAAATTGCAAAAGATATTTCTGTTACATTTGCGGTGTATAAGATAAATGCAACATTCCACATATTTCTGTTTTTTAATTTCTCTAGGACATTAGAGCAAATGTCAGTCTGCAATTTCTCTGCAGATCTGAGTTGAAAAGGGTTAATTTCTGCACCGCAGTCCCCCAGCATGTCCTGTTTGCAACCGAGAGGAGGAGGGAAGGAAAATGCCGCTTTGCTGGCGAGGATAGATTTCAGGGAGATAAGAAGAGAAGATAAGGAAGAGAGTATAAAGCCTGGAATGGGGGGGCTGAGCCACCAGGAAGGGGATCGAAAGCAGGTTTTGGAAGGGGAATTTATTTACACTGCAGAGACGAGCAGCAAACATGGCTGCCTCTGCCCCTTTAAATCCAAGCGGACCTCCTCTATCTCTACCACCACCAAAACATCACATTATCCCCAGATCTCTCTTTATTGCCCCTACTTCCCACCTACACAAAATAAACCCAGGCTCCCTCTCCAACAGGGAGAGGATCTCTCACTGCAATAACCGGGTTCCAGTCCTAGTGCGTGGAATTGATACACGGTCTTTAGAGAAACAATAGGTTCCCTCTCACCATTCCCCACACCTCCCCCAAACGCCAGCCCCTTCCCCGCCACAAATCAGCGTTTGTCTCTAAAGACTCACTCATCGCCCCCATTTCCCCTGCTCAAGGACCACCCGAAACCCCGCGCAGCAGCCCCAATGCCGGCGCTTCTCGCACACGTCCCCCCAGCCCAGCCGTCACCCTGGAGAAAGACCCCCCCCCCGGCCACCTTACCTTTCAGCCCGCTGTGCCACCGATCCCCTAGACCCCCGCCCCCCCACCCCATGTCCCCTAAACCCCACCCCCTCGCCCCCCACCCGTCGCTGCCCCCCGGGCCCGTCTCGCCCCCTCTCACCGTCAGTCTGTTCCATTCTAACTCCCCCCGGCGTGTCCGACCGAGCCCAGCAGAGACACAAAGAGCGGGGGCCGGGGGGGGCCGGGCCGGGCTCGGAGCGGGGGGAGAAACAGGACCCCGCAGCAGGCCGCGCTGGATCCCCGGCCTCGATTTCCGCGCCACCGGGTCCCAGTTCCACGGGCGCCGCCCCGAGAGCCGCCCGTGCCCCGGGCGGTGGGGGAGCCGCAGCGCCGCGGGGAGCCCAGAGAGAGGCGCCGGGGGGGGGCGGCGGGGGGGAGGCGCTGGGTCTCGCTGTGTCCCGGTCTCGGGCCGGCCCCGCTCGCTCTCCCGCTCCCTCCCCCTCCTCCCCACGCACACAAAGCTCGGCTCCACAGGCCGCGGCAGCCACCGCCAAAAGAGGCGCGCCCCCATTGGCTGCCGGCTCTGCGCCAGGCGCGAGGCATGCTGGGGACTGTAGTCCTGAACGGCCGCCAGGCTCGAGGGAGGCGCTGCTGGGGCACGTTTCGTGCCAAGGGGTTGGAAGGCCAGGCATGCCGGAGGCAGGGATGGAGATACACTGCACAAAGCCTAGGACCCAACACGATCTCAGAGGGGCCTGCATGCAATTTTAATGCACTAGGCGTTAGAGACACTGCCTGAGGTCGGGAAACATGCACAGAGGATGCTGGACATGTTTAATCAGCATTTTTAGTCCTAGGATGTTTGCATACTCTAGTGATGGGTGCTTAAAAATGCCTAACTAGGCATTGCATTTAAATCTTTCTGTGTCTTGGGAACATACAACTCTTGAGTTATATTGGATGTCTATGGTTTTCACTGAAGACCTATTAATAGGGTTCTAATGCCAGACATGTTAGATACAGAGATTTATGCATCCGATGAAGTGAGCTGTACCTCACGAAAGCTTATGCTCAAATAAATTGGTTAGTCTCTAAGGTGCCCCTAGTACTCCTTTTCTTTTTGAGAGATTTAAGTGGAATTCACAGGATCTTGGAGCATGCAAACACTGCAAGGCCACAGAGCTGGTGGATGCATGGTTAATCTGTGCATCAAAGCATGATTCTACAGAAGTATTTCCATGCTACAGTAATGGGCATTATAGAAATGCCTCAGATATAAAGATGGATTTAAATTAAATGCACATGGTCTCATGACATGCAAACACTGATATGTCCTAACACATTTATTCCAATTGGAATTAAATGTTTTGCAAATTGAAGGAATTCACATTTAATTCATAGGTCTGAGAACATGAGGTGCTCTGATACTATTGTTTTGAGTGCAGTATAAAGAGCTAATTAGATGGATGTCCAATGAGATGTGTTGGGTGTATTTTAATACAAAAAGATTTAAATACAATGTATCAGGCCTGAAACTACACAAGCTGCAATGGGCAGAGGAGATGGTCCAGCTCTGTTTTATATTGAATGAGCAGTAGAAATGTATGCTGGTTATATATTTAGGATAGCACTCACTGCAAGGTACTGAATAGAATGCCATTTTTAATACAAATGGTTTCAATGCAAGGCACACATACTTGCAAACACTGATAGGTACTGATGCATTTGTTACCAATCTTGAACATGCAACTCTGTTGGAGTGGGGGGAGGGGGGTCAACTGTTAGGTGCTCAGATTGGCCAAGCTGTGCAATTCATTTGCATGTTTGTTATGCAACCAGCGTAGCATTGGCTGGGATGTGCTGGATGGGCTGGATGTATTTAATTACTGATGTACTGCATAAGACCTGGGAAAAAGAAAATTCTGCTGGAGAGATTACAGGGTCTCTCCCTCGGAATCTAGTTTTAGCTGCTGAGGTTTGGCATCTGGGTTAAATGAACAGAGCGTGAGAATGCTGTCATACTCAGTAGTTCCTAGTCTCATTTTGGCTGAAAATATATGCATTCAAATATTTGCAATTAATTCCCCTCCTCCACAAATCCAAAGTGATTCCAGTTCAAAGAAAATACAAAACTGATCTACTCATAATAAGTCTCTATCCTGCACCTAACAAATTTAAATTTCACCTCACAGACAAAAAAAAAAAAAAAAAAGGGGGGTGTGTGTGTGTGTGTGTGGAAAGCAAGAAAACCATCTGAGAGAATGAGAAAGAAACAAGACGGAAAGGTAATGCAGTGCCTGTTACCAGAAAAATCAGACAGTGAAGCAAGATGAATGAACTGGAAAAAGAGACACATGATCTAACATGAAAGAGGAAACTGAAGCAATGTGGGTTTTACGAGTCACTGAACAAAGGCTGAGTAATGGTCTCAAAATTGACTGCATTTCCTATTGCCCAAAGGCTGCAGGCTCCAGCCCACAAAAATAAGACATTTCTCAAGTCTAGGCTTTTGGAAAAAAATACACTGTAATAAGGCACGTTTACAAATGATTCTCCTCCTACCTAATACAATCAGCCATCAAAAATGGAGTTGACCTAGAAAAGACTTCCTTCCTCCCCTTCCCTTCTGTAAATTCTGCAGCACTAGGTTGACGGACTCAGCTGAATTAGTCAGTGAAAAGGATGAGAATTTACCTTTTTTTTTTTTTTTTTTTTTTAGTACTAAGTGGTTTTTAGGCAACTAACCAGCACACTTACAGGAAATCTTGTTTTTCCTCTGTGTATCTCCTGTACAGTGTTTTCTTTCCCCATTCATCTTTTATTGTTGTTGACATGCTTGCATTAATCCAGAAAAGGCCTTTAACACCATTTGTTGGTCAGGAAAATGCTTACAGAGCAAGGGACTGGCTTGGCTTGAAATCCAGACCCAGTAAGAACACTTACAGGAATTTACCTGTTTTTCTCCCTAGGCAAGATTGTTTATTGAGTAGTTTGTGTTGTGAGACAGTATTGTCTAGTGATTAGGACAGGTGACTAGCAGATAGGATTCCCAGTTTCTGTAACTTTCTCTGCCAGTGACTTTCTACTGGCTCTTGGGCAAGTCACTTTGCCTCTCTATAAAATGCAGATAACATAGGCCTAACTCACAGGGAAACTGTCAGACTTAATATTGTAACATACTTGAACTCCCTTGATTTAAGGTGCTACAGCATCACATCTTTATTCTTCATAGAAGTACAATGGATTGTAAGGATTATTTAATATTTGTACAGTATTGCCAGAGGTATCAAGTTTGGTACACCACTGTGTTTTTCACTGTACAATTTATAGCAAGTAACAGTCCCTGTCCCAAATGGGATTCTTGTTACCTTTTAGTTCTTACAGGAAGGAGTGACACAGCCAGGGCTGTGAATGTTTCAGTGCTATGGGGACTCTGAACAACAGGCTGGACACTCAGAACATTTGTGGGCTAGTCAGTCCTTAAATGGGCACAATCAACCCAACTGTAAGAGTCTTACTTAGCATTGCTGATTCTTTTCTATTCTTGTGGTGGCTCCATATATTGGACTGAAAGGGGCTTTCCTTTCCAGTCAATCCCATGAAGAACTGCAAGGATCTAAAAATTACAGCCCAGCTGCTGGGTGACCAAGCAAGCAAAGCCATATTGCTGGGTTTGTTGAGACAGAAGTGCTCCTGCAATCAAAGGCTGTATTTAGATTTTTTAAATGACCTGATAATTGTAACTAACAATATCTGCATTTTAGCACACAGAGCAGAGCAAATTTCTGCTCACAGGGCCTGACCTGAAGTCCCATTAAGTAAATGGAAAATTCACATTGATTTAAATGGGCTTTGGTTCAGGCTCTCAGATTTTTAAGCTCAGTTTCCACTGATTTCAGCTACAGATGCACGACTGAGGACAGACTTTTGTCTCTAGATAGGAGTAGTGAAATCAGGAAGGAATTCATGCACATATACACCCACAACTCCATATTGAAAACCTTGCACAATGAAAGGCATGATGGGTGTTTTCACTTCTCTGACGCTTCAGAGCTAGTACAGCAGATTAAAATCCTCTATTCTGATGGTGTAGCAAACAAAGGATGTCTACTTGATCACGTTAGACTGCAGGATTATCTATGTTTGGCTGCTCAATCAGTCTCAGTTTCATATTGTTGTTGTACTTTGTACAATAATTATTGTACATTAATTCAGCAGAGAATCTCTTCCAGCAAAAACGCCTTCCTCTGTGTGACACAGGAAGAATGCTTAGTCACGTCCTTCTTTATTCCATCAAGATTTGTTCTACTAGAGAAGGTTTTAATGTAAAGCTTTAGTATTAAAAGGCCTATACCAACATAATGCTTCAAGAATTTTTGTGGGGAGAGGCGTAAAACATGGATCGATATTTTTTAATCTAAGATGTCTGGAGAACTGGCCTTCATAGGCATGTCTTTACCAGTTGAGAGAATAAACACAGACATAAAGAGACCTCTAGTGGCTAAACTAAGGTACTTTCTTCCAACCCCTAGTTTTTAAACCATTTGTTTGGACACTAGCTGGTAAATCTGCCTTGTGGATTAATAGCAGTTTGCATTTCAAATTACGTTCTAATATTTAGGTCGTCATCCTTATAAATACAGAATAGATTCAGAGTAACCTCTCTAGTTCTGTCATCTGCTAACAAGGAGATTCTTTCCAACTGCCTTCTTGATTTATAGAATTTGGGGAGCCCTTAAAATTTGTCTTGAGATTCCCTTTGATTCCTGACACCACACAAACCTATTTTGGGGGGTAAAATCTAAAAGAATGTCTATTTTAATATATATTTTTCTTCTCACACCTTCCTTCATATAATTTATAATGTGCTATATGTAGACATCAAGTGCAATAATTTAAACATAGATCCTTCAAATATAGGGAACACATTGCTATATAAAATTAAATAAAACTGTATGATGCTTTTGGTGTTTTGTTAAACACAAAAAAATAAATTGTTGGTCCCCATTACCTTTTCACCTCTGAAAATCCTGCACATGGACCAAGTCATAGAAATGAAAAACATTTTGTACTGAATTTAACATTTAGCTGAATTAAACATTTTAAATGTCAGCATTAATTTGCTTGACATGCTTTTTCTCACCTTTAAAGCAATAGTTTTGAAAACTTTAGGCCAAGACTTTGTAGGATCCATCAACAGCAAGCATAGAACAGAAAAATCACTTCCTCTCAGGACCTTGTCTTCATACATGTCTGTAAAGCTCTTCTCTCACACACTTGGCACTATGTTAAGTAAGTCAAAATAGCAATAGGTAAAGAGATGCACACACAGGAGTTCCTCTGTTTTGATGCTTGTTCAGCAGAGGGAGATACTTTTCATTCAGCTCCTGAATGAATGAGTTGATGTTTGTAAGGCACCTTGAAGACATAATGGTCAAAAATAATAACAGTAATAAATAATAAAGTTGAGCAGAAAACAAAAGTTCAAAATTTTTTTCCTGTTTTTCACAAAATTTTCTTTTGATGGAAACTTCCCAGCCTATTCTAACCATGACTATTACATGTAGCCTGTAGAGTTTTCATGAGCACATAAAAGTGGGAACTTGCACATACTAATATTGAGAGGTGTGAGATTGTGCCTAGGTACATTTCTTGAGGGCTTTTGCAAATGTGCAGGATTTGGGGGTGGGGTTTTTTATGGGGAGAAAGAGAAGGAAGGTCTTTCTGACTCATTCATCTTTCACTGGGGAGAGGTAGTTTGTGTTTCTAGATCATGAGAAAGGTGGGGACTCTTGTGCTCATTTCGTGGCATAGGGACATGCGGAGGGTCAGGGAGTGGAACAGAGCGTGTGTGTGTGTGGTGGGGGGAAACAGACTGGGATAGCAGAGGGCCTGACAACAAGGAGAAGGGCAGCAGTGAGTAGGTCCAGCAGGGTTCAAGACAGGCATAGACTCATAGATTTGGAGGCCAGAAGGGACCATCGTGACCATCTAGTCTGACCTCTGCACATTGGAGGCCACAGAGCACCACCCACCCACTCCTGTATTAGACCCCTAACTTCTGGCTGAGATGCTGAAGTCCTTGAATCTTGATTTAAAGACTCCAAGTTACTCTCGTTCGAACCACCGCGTGAGGCGGGCCCCATGCTGCCCAGGAAGGTGAAAACCCCAACCTGGCCCGGGGAAAAGCCCTTCCCGGCCCGCAGCGGGGCGACCCCGGGGCCCGCGGGCAGGCGGGCGAGACTCGCCGGCCACAGCCCTGGGCCTGAACCCTGGGCAGGCCAGCGGGGCCGGGGCGGCGGGCCGGGGCGGAGCACACCGCACTGGGCTCCAGCACCTGCCAGAGCAAGAGGCGGGAAGCGAAACCACAGCCCGGCCTCGGTCACAGCCCGGCGAGTGACGTCACACCTGTCTCCACGGCAACAGCAATGGCGTCATCCTGACATCACCCAGCCCCCCTTTCCCCGTGGAGAAGGCAGAGCCCGGAGCCCAATAGGAGCAGCGGCAGGCCCAAGGTCACGGAGCGGAGGAGGGGGCAGGTGGGCGGAAGGGGAGGGCACATCCGGCCAGGCCCCGCCCCCACTCCGAGCTGTCCGCTCCCATTGGCTGGCTCACGACCGGCCCCTCCTCCTGAGTCTGGCGCCAGCGTCCGAAGGGGCGGAGTTCTGCTGCCATCGAGCTAGGGAGTAGAGCGTCCCTCTGCTTCCGGCCGCGGGGGGCGATGGGAAGGGCCTGGGCGGACTGAGGCAGCTGGCGGTGGGGGCCGAGCGGAGCCCCGAGAAGGTGGTGAGTGGGCCTGGAAGCCACGGGGGGGCCTCGGCCACCCCCCCCCGGCCCTAGCTCCCTGCGGTCACCTCCGAGCCCGTCACGGCGCTGGGCCTCCTCCCCCCTTCAGGGGCACCCCCGGAAGTGGGGGCCCGCAGGCAGGGGCCCCTCGCTGCGCCGGCCGGGCCGAGCCAGGCCAGGCCAGGCCGTAGGGGCGGGGTTACAAAAACAGGAGGGGCCGGACTCCTGGGTTCAGCTCCCAGGCTTTGGGGGAGAGGGGGGGAAGCAGGACTCCTGGGTTCAGCTCCCAGGCTTTGGGGGAGAGGGGGGAAGCAGGACTCCTGGGTTCAGCTCCCAGCCGTTGGGGGGCGGGGGAGAAGCAGGACTCCTGGGTTCAGCTCCCAGCCGTTGGGGGGCGGGGGAGAAGCAGGACTCCTGGGTTCAGCTCCCAGCCGTTGGGGGGCGGGGGAGAAGCAGGACTCCTGGGTTCAGCTCCCAGCCGTTGGGGGGCGGGGGAGGAGAAGCAGGACTCCTGGGTTCAGCTCCCAGCCGTTGGGGGGCGGGGGAGGAGAAGCAGGACTCCTGGGTTCAGCTCCCAGCCGTTGGGGGGCGGGGGAGGAGAAGCAGGACTCCTGGGTTCAGCTCCCAGCCGTTGGGGGGCGGGGGAGGAGAAGCAGGACTCCTGGGTTCAGCTCCCAGCCGTTGGGGGGCGGGGGAGAAGCAGGACTCCTGGGTTCAGCTCCCAGCCGTTGGGGGGCGGGGGAGGAGAAGCAGGACTCCTGGGTTCAGCTCCCAGCCGTTGGGGGGCGGGGGAGAAGCAGGACTCCTGGGTTCAGCTCCCAGCCGTTGGGGGGCGGGGGAGAAGCAGGACTCCTGGGTTCAGCTCTCAGCCGTTGGGGGAGAGGGGGGGAAGCAGGACTCCTGGGTTCAGCTCCCAGCCGTTGGGGGGCGGGGGAGAAGCAGGACTCCTGGGTTCAGCTCCCAGCCGTTGGGGGGCGGGGGAGAAGCAGGAATCCTGGGTTCAGCTCTCAGCCGTGGGGGGGGGGGGGGGAGAGCAGAAGCAGGACTCCTGGGTTCAACTCCCAGCCGTTGGGGGGGGGGGGAGGAGGAGAAGCAGGACTCCTGGGTTCAGCTCCCAGCTGGGGGGGGGGGGAGCAGAAGGAGGACTCCTGGGTTCTTTGCCCTAGTTCTGTCCATGAGGCAGTTTAGACCAAGTCGCTTCTTGGAGCGGAAGACGGGACTCGTGCTGGTGCTTGGGGACCCTGCCCGGACAGGCACGGCGGAGAGCTGAAGGGCTGTGAAGTTTGCCGTGCGGCATGCCTGCTCCGCTATGCCTCTGCCAGGGGAAGCTGGCTTGCTCCCGCGCCCCTCCTGCGCTTCGGGGAAAGCGAGGCATGAGCTGCCCAGCAGTGGGCGTGTGGGGTGGGTGCTGTCAGGTTACTCTTCCACACAGCCCCTTGCCCTGCTGTGACCGCATGGACTGGAAGCTGTCTAATTCAGTGAAAAGTCTGATCCGCTTGGTCTTGTCCAGGGCCCGCTGAAGATTTACAGAGAGCGCTGTTACTTTTTGCACACCTTTGGAGTAGCGGGAGGGTATGGGCATATCGACCATGACTAGAAGGCAGTTGTCATCGGTTTTAGCACTGCTCTAATTGAGTGACTCTACAGTTAAACTAACTCTTTCCCTGTAAGTATTGTTGTTCATCTGCTCTTCTGTATTAGAACATACAACCGATCATTCCAGGGCAACATGGCGTTCTACAGCTGTAACATAGTCCTTGCAATAGCCAGGTCAAGGTAAGAAATGAAGGCTTATTTTTAAATTTTATTTTACTGTTTAAGATTCTTGGTTTGTTCTAGTACTTTTGCATCTTTAGTTCTCTGAAGTATATTTAAAATGGTAGCCACTTGTGTGTAACACATCCCCGTAAAGCTTTGTCTGATACGGGCCTGATAAAACTGTTGCAATAGTAATGGTTAATTTCTTCAGGTGACTGATGCTTTGTTTTAGGGGCATGGTATGAAGTGTATGCAGCAATTAACTTTTCACTCAAAACAGGCTTGCTGTTGTAAATGAGGCTACATGAGGTGAAACCAAATGTTTAATTTTAGTTTGAGAGAGAGTTCAGTCTCTTTATATTCCAAGTCCTGAATTGATTTTGTGCTTGGTTAAATGTCAGAATGAAATGGAGAGATTTGATTAGTAAGGCTTTGGTAGTTGTCATAGTACATACTAATGTGAGAAGTCTTATTCCTGTTATACAAGATAAGATTAAAAATCATAATGTAAAACCTCCTTCCCTGGTGTTTTTAACATGCTGTGCCTCTTTGTGATACCAGGGGCATCCCATTGGGGCTACAGATAAATAAGAGAGTATGAGGACCGTTTCAGGAAGTAGCCTGGCTATGGTGGTGTGATGGGGATATGGGTTTGGTTTTTTTCCTTTGGGCTGTGATTGGGTAAAATTCTTCTGTCATAACCATTAGTAGGATGGTGGCTTATAAGAAATGGGCTGAAATACTGAGTTGCTCCTTTGAGAGGACAGCTCATCAGCTAGAATAATGCAAAAACTTTAAGTGTTTCATCCCCCAGCTAAAATCTGCTCCCACAAACTGGGCAAGTCTTTAAGAAGATTCTATGTGATGAATTTGAAGCTAAGAACAAAAATACAAATGAAATGTTTAACTTTGGTAATTTAACTACAGCAGAGAATTACATGATTAAAGTAATTAGCTTCTCTTCAGTTTCAGAGGCCCTCATCTTCTTGTGCACTCCAGCTGTTCTCCATATTCCTCATCAGTTGCATTTGTCCAACTAGTGGATTCTCATTTAAACCGAATTTACATGAAAGACTCTGAAAACCAGCAGTTACTGTACTGCACACAGCTGGCCCCTGGACTACCTCACCTACGAACTAAAGCAGTGCGAACACTGCACACCTCTGCTTACTGGCATCAAGAGCTCAAAGATGAATCTCAGCTGCACCAAAGTACAATAAACCAGGACAATGAGCATGCTAAAACTCTGTCAGACCAAAGCACAGAGACTGGTGTGGAGAAAAAGTCTTTACGCCAAAGAATTGTGGATGAACTGAAACATTATTACAATGGATTCCACTTGCTTTGGATTGACACGAAGGTCGCTGCCAGGATGGTATGGAGGCTGCTACATGGTCAGGTTCTCACTAGAAGAGAGAGGCGAAGGGTGAGTATGAACTACCTTGCACAGACATGTTGGCACTAATTTGCTAAGCTGATGTGTTGAGAATCTCAAGGTAACCAAAGAAACTGGTTTGTTCCATTTCCAAACTTTATTTGAATTGAGGTCAAATGTGGACATCTGTTTAAACCTTTCATGTGAATTTAATGCCTCTAAAAGGGTAAAAGCTCAACAGCCCAGGAGCCTGAAATCCTCTCTGCATTTTCCATAACTAGTACAGCGCAAGCTATGGCAACACAGGCCCCCTGGGTTCTGCCAAGGACCCTCATCCCTATCCTGGGGACAATTCCTCTGAAATGAGAGGCGCATTCAATGTCTGTGGCCCATCAATTTCTGCAAGAGTTTGGACAAGGGGGATGATTGCTGTGGTACTTTAGAAGTTGCCAGAGTAGTTGTTCAAAGACAGATGCAGTCTTAAAGCACTATTAATTCCATTGAGTCAGAGGCCATGTGATAAGTCCTAAGTTTAGATACCATGCTGATAAGCACCTTGGTTATCTGAATGAATGGTAATACTTGCACCAAGATCACCTGTAGAAAGCCTTCATTAATTGTACCCCAAATAGGTTTTCTTTTGTGTCTGTCAAATGAAAAAGAACTCTTGCTATGCCTTTCTGCAGCTACTGAGGACGTGTGCTGATCTCTTCCGGCTGGTTCCCTTCTTGGTGTTCATCATTGTGCCCTTCATGGAGTTCCTGTTACCTGTATTTCTGAAACTCTTTCCTGAAATGTTGCCCTCAACTTTTGAGACGGAATCAAAAAAGGTTTGTGTACTGGGCTGTTGAGAAAGCAGACTGCTTCAATAATTCAGACTCCATTAACTAGGATTGTGGATGGCAACTCTAGAAGTATATTGGGATATCAACTAGCCTGAGCCATACTGCTAGAAGCTGACTAAACATCATGCCATGATTAATTGTTCTTCAGTATTCATCGTGGAATAGTGAGATTAAGCAAGTGTAGGAAGATTGGTCTAGTCAGTGGATAGAGCACTCAGGAGACCTGGGTTCAATTCCTTGCTCAGACTTCTTCTATGACCTTGACCAAGTCTCTTAATCTACCCTGTGTTTTTTTGTTTTTTTTTTTAAGGGGATATTACTGTAAGGATAAAATCCATGAATGATTTTGAGACACTCAGATATTATAGTGATTAGGGTCAGAGAAGTGGATAGATAGAAGGGGTCTGCAGCAAGGTTACTTGATAACTGATTGAAGACAGGAGTAGTACAAGAAAACTGTAGGGTTTAACAAGCATTGTGCCCAGAGTGGGTTGACTTTCTCTCCTGTTTCCTCTCCCAATTTCTCTTTCTTCCATCCTTAATAGTTTAGAGGTATTTATTTTTTTTCAGTTCAGAGTAATGTTCCAGACTACATGATCGGCCCTGAAATAGAACCCTTAACTATGTTTGGTTAGATAGCCACAGAAAATTAAGGGTCTGCATAGGATCATTTTAATCAGATGCCCTTTATCACTCAAAGGCAGAGTCAGTAGATAAGACACGCTGAGAGTGTGCAGGCAGGAGTTAAATACTGTTAGGTTTTCACTCAACCAAAATGTTAATCTCCTCCTCTCTCGAGGATCTATCAACTTGGGCCAAAATGCTAGTGTCACGTGTGGACCGTTTTCATTGACTTTCGTGGGGATTTCCCATATTTAGAAGGGCAGAATTTGCCCTTTACTCTTCAACCCAAACCACTTGAAACCATTAAGGCTCGTTCTGTGTGGCACATTAGCCCTATCAACTTCCCGGCCCTCATCAATATCATACAACTGGGATATTCTCTGCCCACTACTAGCTCACTTCTTTTGCAGCTGATAAGTGACCCAGATTTCAGCTATTATTTCTTGCTGTAGTGTCTGATACGAACTAATCAAAACATCTTTGTTACCACATGGGCAACTGATTAGCACCCACAACTGTAAATCAGTTCAGCCTTGCCTCTCTGTGCAACTGGGTCAAACACTCTTACTCAAAGTGGATTCACATATGCAGAGCTACACAGAAGAATATTCAGTAAAAAAACTTGTATTTACAGCATCTGTCTAGTAAGCGGGATTGAAGCTGATGCACGTACTTTAGTTGTCCAAGCCCAAGTGCCAAGGGTAGTCAGCAGCAATGATGAAAAGTAAGTTAGGTTTTGAGAGGCACAGGGGTAATTAACCAAAGGCCTTCAGTAACAAAAGGAAGGAAACTTAACTCAACCTTCTCTCTCCTGGAGTTCAAGATGAGCCTCTAACTACTTTTTTTTCCTAACTTAAGGAAGAAAAACAGAAAAAGAAACTAAGCGCCACATTAGAGCTGGCAAAATTCCTGCAGGAGACTATTACAGAGATGGCCAGAAGGAACAAAGCAGATACGGGAGAGGCCACCAAGCAGTTCTCTTCCTATGTGCAACAGGTACCGCCAGTAGTAAAATAAGCTGGAGGGGCTAGAAAAGGTGTCTGCAGTCCTGTGTAGCAGGGCAGCAAGGTGGGTAGATACAACTTTGAAGGGTCTTGTGCTGGGAGATAAGGAAGTATGGGATTTGTATGACACACAAATCTATAGCCAATCTGCAAAGCAAGCTTGCAAACTAGATATACAGATTATATTCTCGCCCACCTTCCTGCATGTATGAAATGTTTTGTAACCTGTGCAGAAACAATCACAATATTGCTGTTAAACCATTCTGTGAACTGTAACTGCACTGGCAAACTTATCTGACAAGCCCAGGATTAGAGAAGCTGCAATTCCTTGATTGCAAGTTTCAGTGGGTGGCGATGGTCTGTTTGTTTTAAAACAAACAAATGCTAAATGGAGGAAGAAAGTTGTTCCTGTCCATCTATCTGTAAGAAAGCTGCAGCTGTTGTGCTTACTGTTGAAACTTGAAAGCTCGCAGAGCCTTGCTACCAGGCATGTATAAATGCTGAGGGATATTGGTAAACTGATTGCCCTTTCGTGGCCAGTGCCTTGGGGAAGCCTTGTGACCCCAGCTATCTGGGGAACCTGTGTCCAGATAAGTTACTGTCTTCTCTTAATTCTAATTTTAACCAGCAGAAAAACTCTTTACATAGTGACAGGTTTCAGAGTAGCAGACGTGTTAGTCTGTATTCACAAAAAGAAAAGGAGGACTTGGGGCACCTTGGAGACTAACAAATTTATATAAGCATAAGCTTTCGTGAGCCTCAGCTCACTTCATCGGAAAATACACTGAATACATCTGATGAAGTGAGCTGTAGGTCACGAAAGCTTATGCTCAAATACATTTGTTAGTCTCTAAGGTGCCACAAGTCCTCCTTTTCTTTACATAGTGAAGTTCTTCAAGTGGCCATTCTGAGAGCATATTAGAAATAGTCTTCTGTTTTCAGACCCTAGGCTTGAACAACAGCAGTTTAGTGGCCACCAGCAAAAAGCGCTAAAGTGAAATGATTTGGGGGGAGTGTTAGAGTGAGGACTGGATTCAGGATGCCTAGTTTGTTTCCAGCTCTGCCACTGGCTTTTGAGGTACATTCCTATCTGATGCCTTGGCTTTGTTGTGCAGGTTCGTCATGCTGGCCACCAGCCCAGCACCCAGGAGATTGTGCGCTTCTCCAAGCTTTTTGAGGATGAGCTGACCCTTGAACACTTAGAACGGCCACAGCTGGTAGCCCTCTGCAAACTGCTTGAACTACAGCCCATTGGCACCAATAACCTACTCCGCTTCCAGCTTTTGATGCAGCTCAGGTCTATAAAAGCAGATGATGAAGTAAGAGACTAAAACAAATAAAACAGACGCAGTGTGACCTGATGGTTACTACTGGAGACCTGGGTTCTAGTTCTGATTCTGCAAGTCACTTCCTCTCTCTGATCTGCAGTTTGCCTATCTGGTGTTATCGGTATGCTGCTGCCTACATTAACGGGGAGAGGGGTGATGTTACTATTGGTGAGAGGAGGATTACCCCATGGAACTCTAAGGAAGTGGAGTGTTGGCAGTTCAGCCCTCCAGTGCCTTCTATCAGCTCTACCAAGGAGCACATCTCAGATGAGACTCTCTTGCTGTTAAGAATTAAGAAGGTGGCCTCCTAGGATTTCAGTAGCCTGTAGCAATGAATGATTGTGGAGCCCTGTCTCTTATACTACTTCAGTTTTATCATACTTGGTTCTATAGAAACTTTGGGCCATTTCTATTACGTAACTAGCAATGTGAATTCAGAATGCACTGATGCCAAACTCCTTCCTCTCGCTGTCCGAGCTTGGGAGCGTGGTAAATGAGGAAATCTGGCACTACCATGAGACTGGAATGAAGGATCTGGAGGCTTTTTGTTAGAAATGATGCTGTGACATAACTAATTAAGTGGCTCCTGCCCACCTCTGACTTACACGTATGTGGTGATAGGTCCATTTTTACAAATAAAGGCCCAATCCTGAAAATCCTTGTGCACGTGAGTTACTTTACCCTGTGAGTGGTTGCATTACAGTTCAGTAGGGCCCCCCACAAGAGTGCAGTAACTCCATGTGTAAGTGTTTGGAGGATCAGGCCCAAGGTTATTCCTCGCCTTTAACTGTGTTCAGCATGCAGCTAGGCAGTCAGAAACGGGTTGTCTGCTGAATCCCAGTGTTGTTGTCTTACCCTTGGTATCAGTAGGTATTCCTTTGTTTATTCTCTACTCCTCTCCAATACAAGCAGGCATCTCTTTGGTACCAGAATTAGGGAATAAACTAGGGTTTGGGCTTCTGGAGTCCTGGATGTGAATGTTCCTTTTCCTTTCAGATGATTGCTAAGGAAGGTGTTAATGGGCTAAGTGTGTCCGAACTGCAGAGTGCGTGCAGGGCCAGAGGAATGAGATCACTGGGTCTCACAGAGGAACAGCTGAAAGAACAACTCAGTCAGGCAAGTAGGGCCTTGCCTGCTACTAAAGTCTTGGAAAATTGCACCCAGAGCTTATATTTTACTTAAAGGGACCATGTCAGGTGTTCAGTCTTCAAATAAACTAGCTTTGACAGATGGCTGGCCTTGCCCTGAAGATTCATGCCACTGTTTTGTTGTTGATCCTCATTTGCATAACTGAACTGTAAAACACAAAACATACCACTTCCTGTTGAAGAAGATGGTGGCTGAGGAGTGCCAAGTGCACATACCTGTCAGGAACAGGACACAGGAACCCAGGGGATTACTTAAACTACTAGAGCAGCAAAGGCCTGGCATATTTAAAAGAGGGCAGTGCTGGAATGGGGCAGATGAGACATTGTAATTTGTCTGTATAGGGATTCACAGATTCCCAGGTAAGAAGGGACCATCTGTGATCTGATCTGACCTACAAAACACAAGCCAGAGACTGTCCCCAAAATAATTCCGAGAGCAGATCACTTAGAAAAATATCTGATCTTGATTTAAAAATTGCCAGTATTGGTGGCAGCTATTTCCATGTGGCACTCCCCTCCTCCCATCCCTGGGACTCCGTATTGGGGCCTTATTCTGCACGGGGTCAGGGCCACCGGTGCTGCAGGTGCTGTATTTTGGATAAAATGTAAAGTAGAAGCTTGAACACTTAATTTTCCTATGGCAGTCTTTCAAAAGTAGGGATGTTAACACCAGTCTTGCAGTCAACTTCTGTGTAAGTAACTAGTCTACCTTTCTAGACTTTCTCTCCAGCTTCAGCTGGATGCAGTAGTCTTCACTGCCCTTTGAAACTTGTTTGTTGCTACTGTGAGCTGGTAAATAGCTGTTGTCTTTCACCTCTAGAGGGAGGCGACTAAGCTAATAGAGGTTCAAATCTGTCACGTGCTCTGGGGTCCTTCAGGATGAAAGGTGCTCTACAGTGCTAGAGTATTCTCCTCATTGAATTGGTGTTTAAACTGTTGATTTTTGAACCGATTCTAAATAACCCTCCTCTCCCCCCATGTTCTACAGTGGCTAGATCTACATCTAAAGGAGAATGTTCCTCCTTCTCTGCTGCTGCTTTCTCGTGCCTTGTACTTGATAGACGTGAAGCCGAAACCCATTCAGGTGTCACAGAATGAGGTGAGTGGGCTGAATAGCAGTTAGCTTGAGGACACGGTCCCATTTAACAAAACAAGATCTTTCATAAGGATCACAAATGAAGGATTTAGTTACTCACCAAACCTCAGTCACACATAGCGCATGTCCTGTCATACAGCAGGTTCACCATAATGGCTAGTTGATGCCATCTTGGTGTCCTCAAGCCAAATGGGACGTTTCCCAGCTGCCTTTTGTAGAGACAATGTATCTGAATTTTTATGGCTGTCTTAGTAAACTGGTCACCATGCTGGAAGCTAACAGATGAACAAACTCTGATTGTGGTAAAACAGCTAATGTTTTTTAGGTCTCCCATCCCAAATGAAAGACTTGGGAGAGCAGCTTAGATATTAAAACCAGCAGTAATTGCACAGTCGCTTTAGAAAATGCATGTATGAATAGTATTTGTTTTACCATAGTACTTACAAGCCCCCGTCATGGACCCAGACCCCTTTGTGCTAGGTGTTCTATGAACCCAGAACAACAAAAAGAGTCCTGCCCCAAAGAGATTACAAGGTAAGTATAAGACGAGACAACAGATGAATACAGACAGGCTGATGGGCGGGGCACAAGAAAACAATGAGACAATATTGGTCAGCCGGCTCAGTCCCAGTGATCTCAGCACAGCAGCAGTCTAGCCGTTTTTAGTAGTCCAGTACTTCCTCCAATGGCATGTTCCATTCATAGACCTGGTTTGGGGTTTAATATAATTTGCAAGCTGGCAAACTTGAGCTTTGATCTTTTGAGGTGAAAATACCTGCATGGTGTATTTGAAGTGTCTAAATAACTGACTTGGGGGCCTGATTTGCAAAGGTGCTGAGCACTCACTGCTTCAGTTGACTTCAGGTGGAGTTGAGGGTTACTTAGCATCACTGAAAATCCATCCTTTAACATGTAACTCCAGGGACTGTCTTCCTATATCTGTACAGTTCCTGGCACGCTTTAAGTGCTCCTGCAGTATAAATAATGGTGTGAAGCATATATCCATTATGCAAATTGGACAGATTTCTGCCCAGACAGATATGTCAAATGTGTAGGTGAGTTATTTTTTTGCTTGCATTTTTCTTATTAATATTCTAATTGTTCTTGAAAAGCAGACTTTGATTGAGATTGAACCTGAACAATGCAAGACACATGGTGCTAAATAACTAAACTTTTGCCCGGGTACTTACTGGCCTGGAGTCTCCTCATAGTCTGCATAAAATATGAACAGCAATTCTGAGTAGTTTATTTTTTTCCTTAGGTTCGGGTTAGTGACGCTGCTGCAGAAACATCAGTTCTTGAACCTAAAGAAACCTTAGTGGATTCTGCACCCATTGTGCAAGGAAGAAAGGTTAGAAAATGACTCTTTACAAATGAGTACCAGATTTATATGAAATGCTGCAGGTTTGGGAAGTATGAGTGTGAACATACCTTAGCAAAGTATGGAAGTAGGTGGCCTTTTAGTCTGGCATCCTTAGCTAGTAACTCTGAGTAGTGCGCTGAAATAGAAACTCTTGGGATAGGCAAGTTTTTCTGTTTGTCACACTGTTGCAACAGCAGTGCTTCCTTTGCCAAGGAAGGAGAGGATGTTGAAAAGGCAGAGGAAGCTGCAGTGGCATCACTTCTTGCACTAGTGCTGGAAACACTGCTGACTGTTCAAAATAAAATCACCACCATCTTCCAGCAGGAGAGCACTCGTGAGATCCTTAGTTATTCAAACTCATTTCCATAAACTAGACAGTCACATGCTGCTGCTTGTGCTCACATTTCACCTGTGAGAGGGTGGTTAAATTCTGAATCATGTTACAAGCTTCTCCCCAGGTGACATTCTCCTGAGGGTGTTAGCCACAAGAATTGGAGGAATTGGGGGCAGATTAGCATGTGAAACTCTGCATTCAGCCAGGCAAGCCAGTTCAGGAATGTCTGATCACCAAAGTTGGGATGAGTGACTTAGTGTGTGATACAAGGGGGTCAAATAGCAGCAGTAGTTTAAGTTCAGAAATGGAAAGCTTAAGTTTTAAAACTAGAAAGATTTCCTAATAGATATTGGCTGTGGAATAGTCTCCCAAGTGAAGAAATGGAATCCCCGGCATCTGACATTAAAATTAGAAGTGCATCACAAAGAACTACTGTGTTCTGGCAGGGAAGTGGCCTGTCTGGGGCCCAAGTAGACCTCTTCCGTGTTCTGATATGATTCCGTGATTGTTAAAACACCTTTTATATTTTTCTCTTGAAGGGAGAAGAATTTATATCACAGCCATCAGAGAAGTTACCAGTCCCTGGAGTATCTGTCAAGCCTCCTCCAGGAGAGGTGAGCTCTGAGGCAGACCTAGGCCAGGTTTTGTGGGTTTGTTTAACTAAGGAAGTTCTAGACTGAGCCTTTTAAAAGATCTGAAGAACTGCAGAGAGCTTGCCCTCTTCCTTCCCCATTCTTTCTACAATGGGAAATCCATGCACCCTTGACTTCTATCTAGCTGTCTGAATATGGGATTAGAACCTAACTTTAGGCACCCGCGTTTGTTAATTTTGGTCTGAGCTTTTTCATTAAAGGAAAAATGTTCTTTAGCCTAACTGGCGAAATCTGCTGGTCTTGTTTCTAACACGTGGTATTTTAATAGGTAAACACAAGCTGTCTGCCAAAACCACTCTTTCCCACATCAATAATTACTAATAAATATTGGTTCATTTAATGGAAGATGTATCCATACCCTAAACTGCTTTGAAAACCTTAGTCTTTATTGAATGTTAATGAACACATTCAGACAGCTACTGGGGGGTTTTAAGTCTATAATTTTCTCTTACCGTAGACCAAAATGGAGGCATCTCAAAGCAGCAAGGCCAGTGCCAATGGAGTCTAGCCCTGCGCCAGCAAGGACCATGGAACAAGGGCACCGACAGGGGAAGACTCCATTCCTCTGAACCTCGTCTGACCCAACAACTGGGTGAGCAGTGTGTTCACAGGCTCCCTCCCACACCAAGGCTTTCAGCTGTCCCCAGGGGGCCTTATCAATCAATTCCAGATTGTTTTATTAGCAGCGAGAACATACAAAGGACACATCCCATTTAAAATACCCTCTATAAATTAAGTTATATTGTAAATATGTAAATACGTCTCTTAAAATGCTCTAAGCTGTAACTTATCCCATGGCTGTGTGTCCTACAGTTAGGGTTTGTGCTCTTTAGTAAGGCAGCATTTTATTTTTATGAAGGGCTGGAGAGCAGACATGGGCTGGGTTTGGTGCTTCAGTAAAAATATCCCTCATCCACACTGTGGAACCCTGTGCAGGAGCTTTGCCACGCAGTCAGGGCTTGGCTAGACTGCCAGAGCAATTTGTATAGACCACAAGCCCTTGATTATCATGGTAACCTCCATTTGTTAGCTAATATCTTGTGATCAGAATAGCTCATCTAGCAGTTAAAATTAAACTAACATCAGTTGCTCTCTGGTTTTCACTGAGGAGAATAAACACTGCGCTGGAAGAGACAAAAGAAGAAAGGCCTGCAGTATCTTCAGTGGAGAGATTGAGAGAATAACAGTTAAGAGAGGTTTTGCTGCTCTGTTTTCCTTGCTTAAAAAGGGCATCCTCCGTTGCATGCTGTGCCTGCTTTCTGCCCACAGTTGGCAGCAGGATGGCATCTGCCAGGGTCCCAAACACCACTCTAGCACAAACTTGCAAACATGCCTTTTACATGGGAACATCTTGCTAGGGAACGTGCAGAACGGCAGTGACCTGGGCTTTCAAATTAAACTGTTTCATTGTTTTAAAATAAAGTCTGAGATCAGACTTGTCTTTTTAAATCTAATCATCTGATTCTTAAAACTATCCGATAATGAGTACTGTTGGAATACTTTTTTTAAACAATTCCTTGTATATTTCAGTGGAAACTATCTTCCTGGTAGATTTGTATAGGAAGAGACTGAAAAGTGTGGTTTTTTTTTATTATTTAATTTTGGCCTCCTATACCTGTACATGTTTAAAATTTGCTCATTTTATGGATATATTGAACCTGGATATTTCTAATTACTGTAAAAGTAAAAGTGGACATGGATGCTGAGTAGAATGTGACTCCTTTTGTGAGTCAGCCTGAGTCATTGGAACCATCGCCTGGCTGAAGCAACAATCAGCTCAGTTAGGCATTAGCGGCATGTTACAATTATTATGCCAGGCTCCTTTTTGTAAAGCAGAACCAGCTCGGGGGGGGGCATATTACAATTGTACTGTATTCTTGGTTAGTAAACTCCATCTACCTGGGTGATACAAATCTCTGCTTTGCTAATGCAAGTGTTATATGAAGATGAACAGCTGTGGTGTCTTGCTAGTGATAACAGCAGACCAATGTAATTCCAATAAATGCCCAGTGAAAGAGGGCAGGTGATTTCTGTCGTGGGAGCAGAATGTGATAGTTGGATTGAGTGTTCTTTTTCCAACTTTCTCAAATTCAGGTTTGTGGCTCAGTTCCAAACACACCAGCTCGCCTGACAAAACCATGGTTACAGGGTGGGGGGGTAAAAATCAATGAATTAATAAGGTAAACAACTCTGTGCTCCTCAACGGCTGATTCCCTAAATAAGCAGCAAGGCAAGGGGGTGTTTGTGCTGTCTGTTGTGGGGACAGGCATTGGAATGATGGCATCTGACGGATCCTGTTAAGGACTGGTCTGCCAAGATGTTGGGGAGACCCTGCTCTAGTAAGTTAACGCTGAGTCTCCTGTGCACAGCAGTTCACTCTAGGCACTGAACTCAGCATATAATGGTTGTTTTGGTGAAACACAATTTTCTTGGAGAAGCTACTTTTCACAGATCAGAGAACATGGGGATAATCAACTTGCATGATTGCTCCCTGTTATTGGAGGGTGTAATCATGGGGGAGAGGAGATTGGCTGAACTCTAGTGAACCTTTGGTAATGTCACCTAAGTTACAGATCTTAGATCTGGTCACAAATGGCATTACACAGTAGCAGCGGAGTGAGAGGAGGAGTTTAGCTAATGCTAATATGATTTCAATGAGCTGAGCTCCATCTGCTGGTAGTGAATACACACAGCAATTGTATTATTATTGATCATTTCTTCCAGCTCTGCTATGCTGCCTGAAACCCCCCTTGCCCATGATCAATAGCTCACATTATGATTACCAAGGAACATGTGCCTTACAGCGTGATGCTGAAGGGCCCATGTAGTAATTAGGCCATACGTGAGTCGCAGAAAACAATCATGATCAATGTTTCTGCAAAGTCTCAAGGCTGGAAACTATCCCTGACATTCAACCAAAGTGAGTACTATACTAATTTAATGTCCTAATTAATTAAATGGGAATGTGCCTCCTCTTAGAAGTCTTTGTTTTATTTTAAATCTTTAATAGACCATCCTTTTTCAACCCAAAAACAAGAGTTTGGGCTGCTGGGTAAGTATATAAATGGGAGGACTTCTTTGTTAACCGGACCTGGAAACCTGTTTCGTGCTGCTTAGTTGCTCAGTGTACAAAGCATTAAGGTCATTGATAAAGCCAGAGCTCAGGATGCATAGTGATCATGCTCTACTGACAATCCCATAATAGCTAAAATAATCAGCAGCAACAGTTAACATTTGATATTTAAATGGTCATTATTAGTCTTTGGAACCAGTGTCCCCTGAAAGAACCCACAGTTCTTCATCACTACTCATGGTTTGGGCATAAGTGAAGATTTCATATTAAAAAAAGGATGTAGGGGAAATGGCTGGCTTCTGTGAGAGTAGAAAATAGAACAATTTAGGGGCTGCCTGGAGGCTATTAATTATTCATCTTCTCCTCCCTCCCCCTGCCCCCCCCCCTTTTCTTCAAGAGAAAATTTACTGTTTGGGTAAAAACTTGAAAGCTGGGGTTTGGTGACTTTTCAGCTTACGTTTCCAGACCTGGTTAATCCATGTTTGTTAATCCATCCTTACAGCCGTGTACCCAAAAGTTAAAGCGGTAACCAGGCTTATAACTTGTATGTACCATCAGTTTGTTTATCTGAGGCTTTTTAATTTGAATACAAATAGTTTGCAAAATGGAAAAAATACTACGTTGTCTCTGCAACCTTAATGCTAGGAGCAGAGATACTTTGCATACAGGGGAACATCAAAGTTACGAACTGATTGGTCAACCACACATCTCATTTGGAACCGGAAGTACACAATCAGGAAGCCGCAGAGACAACCCCCCCCCCCCCCCCCCAACTGTACAGTACTGTGTTAAACTACTAAAAAAAGGGAAAGTTTAAAAAAATTGACATAAGGAAACTGTTTTGGTGCTTGTTTCATTTAAGATAGTTAAAGGCAGCATTTTTCTTCTGCATAGGAAAGTTTCAAAGCTGTATTAAGTCTATGTTCAGTTGTAAACTTTTGAAAGAAGAACCATAATGTTTTGGTCCAAGTTACAAATGTTTCACCGTTAGGAACAACCTCCAGTCCCAAGGTGTTTGTAATTCTGAAGTTCTACTTTATTTTTAATGCCTGGTGCATCACACTGCTGCACCCCAGCTCCACCCAAACCCTGTACTGATCAGCTTGGCTCTTTGCAGGACAGAGCCAGAAAGGCGCTATGCAATCCACATGCGGCTTGCATTTGTCCAAATAAACATTTGCACAGAGGGGAGCAAAGGTGGAAGTTCCAGCTAAGGAGAAAGAGGAGGGTGTGGTGAGAACAAGGCTTATTTCCCAGCAGCAAAGTAGACTTTGGGCAGAGGACAAACAGTCATGAGGCAGGAAGGAGATATGCCAAGCTTTCAAGGGGAGGGTGGGGCAGTTGAAGCAGGAGTTTATTTAGAAATCTTTAAGGGGTCTTACACATGTGTGTAGCATCCTCTCTGACTGCTGCCATGTTGAGGGGTAGCCTGGCCAGTGACCAGAAGAGCTGGGGTGGGACCTAGATTCTTGGAATAAAGCCAGCCAGGATTCCCTACACAAGGCTGGGAGTGAGGAAAGGCTTCTCATTACTACCACAGAGCTTCCTAGGGGCTAATGTAAACCTTGTGGCTACTGTAGGGAGGGGGGTAGGGGAAAGGGGAAGATTACAGACTAATCGGGTTCCTGGACTGGGACTCCCGAACCACCCATCAGCATGGGTTCTGTGTGGTGCATGTGTACCTGAGCCGGGGGGAGGGAGGGAACTCTGTCTTCTCTTCTACGCAGTGGTGCGAGAGGACCAAGAGGTGTAAGGCTTCTACCCCCCCCCCCCTTTCCCCACCACACACACAAACTTTATCCAGATGAGTTAAGTGCCATTAGTGGGAGCAGGAGTGTTCAAAGAGCCTGCATTGAAATCACGGCCTCTCCTATTCCTGGAAAATCAGCACACAGATTAATTTATCTCAGACACTGCAGGAGACAGCTCCCAACTTGGGGTGACAAACAAAAACCAGACAAGACTCATGATGACATCCACAGTCCCATTTGTGTGAGCAGCACATGGCTGCTTAAACACCCCTCTTAAATCCATATTCAGCAGATTCAAACACTTCCCCTTCCCTGTACTTCAGCTGAAATAGCCTTCAGAAGCATAGGCAGTCTAAAGCGAACATTGTTGTGGCACTGAGAAAGAGCGACAGCATGGATTTTTCCACTCTAAGGAGAAGGCCCTTGCACATCAGTGAGTAAGTAAGCAAGGGTGACTCTGGACTCTTACAAAGTTGTCTTCGGTGAGTTTGTTTGGACACGAAATGTTCACAATAATTCAGAGTGCACTAGCAAATATTAAGTAGCATGTTTTCTAAGAGTGCTAATGAGATCACAGTTCTCATTGTTGGTGATCACAGTGTTGGTAAGACATTAAATCTTTAGGGAGGGGAAGAATGGGGATTCTGTGGAGCCAGATCCTACGTAGGCTGCACCAATGAAAGTCCTACCCCTACATTTCGATGGTTGAGTTTCACAGCCATTACCACTTTCCTCCATCAGGGAGCAGCGAAACACAATTTTTGTACAATTTCCTCCTCCCCCATTGTTTCTTACATATTGTTGTTGGAAGGCTCATCTCAGACACACACCCCATCTCTCTCTGGCACTTACGCAGCTCTCCCCCTCCCAGGCCCATAGTATCTGATGACCTCACACCACCCCAGCGAGGTGCTATTCTCCCTGATTTGGCAGACAGACGAAGGCCCAGCTCTAAAGATGATTTCAGTGGATGTTGGGACCCTAAATACCTTTGAGGATCTCAGCCTAACTAGCTTGCCCAAGTTCGCATAGAGTCTGTAGCAGAAGAGGGACTTGAACCCAGCACTCTGGAGTCCCAGCAGTGCCCAAACCACTGGACCATTTGTCTTGCCTAAAACTCCTCTAGGCTTGTTCCCTCTCCACAGCCTCAGCTCCCTCTGAGTTGCAGAAATGCCACCCCTGAAGTCTCTGCAGACTCCAGGCTACAGTCCAGTCTGGACTTGAGCTGTTTCATGGCCTAAGAGGTATCTGGGTTTGCGGGAACAACTCAGTCTCTGGCAAGGAGAGTCTCTCTCACAGATAAATCTGACAACAGAATGTTTACACACTTACAGAGAGATGTGGGGCTGGGACGAACCCAAAAGATGGGCAAGAAAAATGGATGTCGCCTCTCCTTCACCACAATTATCCAGTTTTAGCCACCAATGATACTGCATAGAGAGAAGAGGGTTTACTCTGGCCTGTTGCAGAAGGCCCAGTGCATTTCAAAATAACTTTATGACAGCCTTTAAATTATAGGTGTGTAAGTGATGCACTCATGTCCTGGGTTTGCCGTGTGTGTGTATGCATGCAGGTGTGTGCAACACAATACACCAGTTCTAGGCTGAGTGAGAAAGGAGTGTAAATGTTATACCTGGGCTCAGGCCACAAGCTTCAGAAACAAGTTTTACCCCCTTCTTCCCCCAGAAATGTGTGTGTGTGTGTGTGGGGGGGGGAGTTGATTGTATTTATGAGGTATAGCAAAGCCCATGATAAATTGCCCCTGCTGGGCTCCCCCATGTGAGAAATTGGGAGCCAGATCCAGGTCCAGGTTTGATTTTGATTCCCCCTCCCCCATCTGAACTTTGAGCCAGTCCACATGCCAGGGGCAGGCGGGTTGGTTCTGTTCGATCTCTAGTCCATGTTAAAAGTGACTCAAATCCCTCTAGTACTGCAGTCAGAGAAGACAAGAAACATGTCAGGGCTGAGGCTCATGGAGAGCCCTGGGCAGTAGGAATACGGGTGTAGAAGGGGTTTTCTGGGTCACTAGAATTGCAAGGTCTGTGTGTGTTTCACTGGGCACAGCTAGGAGGCTGGTTGTGCTGGGACATTACTGCAGCCCTTTAGCTCATTATTCTACTTCCCATTTCTCTCTCCCGAGCCTGGTTTGCCGTGTCCCTTCAGAGCCCAGCACTGGTCACTTTCGAGGGAGTTTCTGCTCAACGCAA